CCCCACCCCACCCCCCCCCGCGCTACCCCACCCTAAAAATTGAGACTGGCCTCGTACTTCTGGTCCCGCCAGTACTTGGCAACGCTGCCAGAATATCCGAAAAGATCGATACAATGAATCGTCCTCTCACCTGAAAATGCTTGTGACTAAACCATTCTCAAGGGCAAGGCGCCATAATGCGTCATACGTGACAATACATAACGCAAGCCATCGCAAGCCTGTCCAACGAGTCATGATGGCGGAGAGCTCTTCGATGTGCTGGTGAGCGTAGAACCAGTTCTCTTCAGCCGTGCTCGTCAGCGTATCATCCTGGGCATGACATTTCATGCATTGTCAATCGCAACAACAGATAACAACAGGTTAGGACCAGATAGTTGCGCAATGTTGCGCAGGAAACCAGAGGTAAATGAAGTAGCCCCCTATAACCCGTATCACTGTCATTTGTCTTGGCAAGTGTCTATCATGTCAGGATCCAGCTGAGCTCGGCTTCCCCCGTAAGCAGGCACCACGAGCAGTGCAACCAACACAAACGGCGCCATGGCGGCTGCAATCACACTCCCTTCCGAGCAAGTCTTAGAACAATGCCTGGACTGGAGAGCTGCAAAGGCTTGCGGGTTGCCCACAATTATCCCATACGATCCAGAGAACCAGCACCCCAGCACCCAGAAAGCAATCAGCACTGAGCACAAAGTCCTCCAATCGCTCCGTCATCGAATTGGTCAACACCTGCACACCAGGCAGCGGCTGAGAAGGCTTTGACAAGCTTTGCGAACGGCCTCATCCTCTGCATGGGAACTTCGCGGTTTGCCATCAAGGACCTGCGAGCATCAACTACGCAATGAATCGCAAAAGGAAACTTGACTTGCTAACCCCAACACTTTCACAAACGTGTATCCCTGTGCGCTTGCAGCTCATGTGGCACCACTAGGAAAGAATGGCACCAAACTGGATCAGTGCAGTTTATTCATGGAAGCACGTACGCTGAGATCTACGCATCTGTCTCCCCAGCAGTTGTCGCCGGCTCACCGCCACAAACCTGCAAATGGGCACATCACGTCGTGGATCCAGCTAACGCACCATTGCCACACAACAGGAATAGGCCCCCAGCTTGTGACGAAGAAATCGAAGCAAGCATCGGGGGCTCTCCGCCTACCTGCAGCAATAGCATGGAGAAGCGTCAGGGGGCAATTCTTGAAAACAACAACCAGTCAGGCCCCCACATCCCCCAGGCCATTTTTCATGGCTTCACCAACAGCCTCATCAGGATGATTGCTAGGCATGAAGAGTCATGGAGAAGCATCAAGGCGCCAAACAACAGCCAGTGAGGCCCCCACATCACTCAAGCCACCACTTGTTCCGCCATCATCTGTTCCTGCACCAACAGCCTCAGCAGGATGATCGCTAGGCATGAGGAACCATGGAGAATCATCAAGGCGCCAAAAAGCAGTCAGTCAGGCCCCAACATCACTCACGCCAGTGTTCGTTCCTGAACCAGCCTCAGCAGATCTCAGCAGGATACTTGCCAATCCTTTTGCAACAAATCCTTCTGAGTCTGGGTCTTCAGCCTTCTCCGACACAGGAATTGAAGGAAGTGTCGAGGACTCCCCGCTTTGGACCTGAACCAGCATGAATCGACAGGACGGACATGCGACGGCATAGTGGCAAACGGCATTTCATGAGGCACCCACACCATGATTTTCTCCCGCGCATGTGGCCTGATTCCGGTTACTTGGCTGTGAGCACCACCTGTGACCATCTGTCCTGAGGCCTTGGGGGCTTCGATGTCGGATGCAGCGGAGGACTGAGCCTGCAAATGAGAAAGCGCAACATCCGTGTCAAAGTTACAGCCATTTCACGCCTTCATCGTCTTGGTCTTGCGCAGCTCTTTGCCTAGGCCGCATCTTGCCACGCAAGGTTTCCAAGAAACAATATCTGAGTAATCCGAAATATCCCGAATCAACATCACCAATGAAACTTCCTGAAATTAATTGAAATCATAGCCCAGTTGCATAATTCACGCAGTTCCTTGAGCTCCATCGTATCGTGATGACGACACACATCCAACCTTTGATGGCCATGATTTTTAAGCTCATGAAACCATGTGGCGTCATGTTCCTGCCAGTTGAATGGAGTTGGGGCCATGAAGGCTCTAACAGCAGCTGAGAGGCAGCTCGTCTGCAAGGGCCCGTTGCTCCACGGGAACAAAGGCCACATAAGAAGTCACGGTGCTCTTCAGGTAGCACACCTAGGACATGTTCTCAACATTTGAGCGTGCCAGACCATGTGCTCCAAGCGAGCAGAATCAAAACAACTTGAGCGTACACTTTCTTGACAGCCCGAGCTGCTACCCATGCGGTTTGAATGCCATGCCTCATTTCAGGCTTTATGGCGCCCGTCTCTGCTGAATTCTCATCTTTCGGTCTTCGTGGCCTTGGCTGCTTAAGCTTTGTCAAAAACCAAAAGCTCCATTTCTGCTGTGCCAAATCTCAGCAATCTCAAGAGTCAAAAAGCGGCCAAGCAGCATATTGATGTCGTGACGTGAATTCGAGAAATGGCAGGGGACTCGTGCAAGAGAAACAGCTAGAATCACATAGACGTTGCCAAGGGTTGCCAGTCAATTTCTTGCTAGGGCATTGATAGCATGTAAACCTTGCTCCTGATTACCTTATGCACCGAAAACGGATCAAGAATTGATCGAATGCAACCCTTTGATGACTGGACCAGCAACAGCTTCTGACTGCGCTGCATGTATTAATCCGTGTGCTTGCGCGGCGCCTTGAGAGATCACTCTGGGTCCGGCGCGAGCACTGGCTGCAGGATGTCTGAATTTTCTTAGGGGTTTGGGTAATTTTGATATTTTGGGATGTTTTGGGTGTAGAGATCGCTGCTCTCTCTCTTCTACCACAGCGTATTTCTTGTTCATGGAATCTCCAAGGCTACAAGACCTATTCGCTATTCTGTTTTTACGATCTGCCGAAAGATCATATAGGATCATACCTATGCCTCCAAACCATTATCCCTATACCATACCTATGCCTCCAACCCCCTGCAATCATTTTATCCCCATGCCCCCAACCCCCTTGCAATCATTTTCAAGGGTTTGGAAATGATTGCAGCGATCTGCAATCATTTAGACCCATACCCCCCTGCAATCATTTTTAAGGAGGTGGTGATTCTTTAATGGTTGCTACTCTCGCAGACTGTTTTTCAGGACATTTAGAATTCCCAGAAATCCCAAAGCCCTAAACCCCAAGCACACAACTCAAGCCCCGCGCCCTAAACCCCTTGCTGTTTAGGGTTTAGGGTTTAGGGCCTATGTGCATGGTAGGCCTCCTGCAGAAGCATCATGCCATACCTCTAATTCCTAACCCTTATTTCCCACGATATACCCCTCAACCCGAAACATTCTTCTTTCCCCCTATATACCCCTGAACCCTCCTTGTTCTTTCCCCTGAGCATGGTAGGCCTCTTGCAGAAGCCTCGCCAACTCCACAGAAACCTCTACGCTCTCAGCGCTGCGTGGCGCAAACGGCGCCACGCCTAGCTTCGACCTTGGGTCACTAATTCCTTAGAGGGTGGGGTTTAGGGCTTAGGATTTGGGGGTGCGTGTTTTGGGGTTTAGGGTTTAGGGTTTGGGGTGTGTGTTTGGGATTTGCCATTTCGAGCTTGGAAGTTCACTGACATTTTGTTGAAAAACTTTAAGGTGAACTGATGGGCTCCTTACATTTTTCGAGATTACAGAGAAGGAAAATTGAAAGCAGTGGAGTTTTCCTTGTTGGGCTTTGAGGAAGGAACCTATCATTGCCCTAGCAAAGTTGTAGGGATTAGAGTTTAAGCTGTTGAGCTGACAGAGATAGTCTGACGTTTTCAGGACTAGCGGATCAAGGTCGGAGGCTAATCAGGCGGCGTTGGACATCCCTTGCTTGGACTCCTTACCCTAAACCCCTCATGTAAAGGGTGATAGGGGCCGTGTACAGTGGCGATATACAGCATCTACTCCGAAATCAGCTGCTGCAGACAGGCACGGAGGTGCAATTTCATTGTACATCTCCTGGCCCAACGGCCCTGCGTGGATGGTACGCCCCATGGTGGTCATGAGCTTCATATAGACTCCCAAAATACTCTTCCTTATTATAGAGACCCCCAAAACGGTACACCTAATTCAGGGAGACCCCCAAAAGACCCCCATTACAACATCTTTTGTTACTGGCCCAGAGTTCCGTGCAGGGTGACATCCTAGAGCCCCTCATACTTCCTGCAACTACAATGAAAACTTTTTGAATCAGGTACAGACAAGTTTGACATGCCTAAACCCGCCCAAACTATGTAAAGTAATAGCCCTAAACCTAAGATAACAGCCATAAAGTCAATGATTTTACATCCTAACCGAAAACCGTGACCCCTAAGCCCTGTAACTTGTGCTTCTCCCTTGCAAGCCAAGGTACAGCTTGAAGACTACACCCCGCCACAAGGTTGCCTTCCTGATGCTTTGCATGTACGGGGCGCGGGACGCGGTTAAGATTTAAGATTTCAGGCTCGGGGGAAAGGGTTTAGGGCCCCTAAACCCGAAATCCTAAACCCTAAATCCTAAATTCTAAACCCTAAGCCGTAAACCCTAAGCCCTAGACCCTAAACCCTAAGCCCCAGGCGTCGGGCTCGGGAGGTTCTGGAAATCTGGGATGGTTTTGGAGAATTTCGGGGTGTACGCGACGAGGGCGGTTGCTGCTATTGTGGCTTCTTAAGCTTTTTGAGCTACAGTCTAAACTCCTACTATCCCCCTTAACAAACCCTATAGTAGTCCCAGACATAGTCCCCTATATAGCTCCCCATAAGGAGTTTAGACTATAGCATAGCTCATTTGGGAAACTCCCATCTAAGGTTTGTAGGTCTTTTGGTTTGGGATGTTGGGCTAAGGAGTTGGGGTTCGAGATTTAGGTTTCAGCCCTCTTTCATGGGACATCCCCAAGGTACCCAAGGTAATGCCCAAAACAAACCCCTGTAGAAAATTTCCTCCCAAGGGTTTGCCAACTACAAGACCCAACTTCCCTGAACCACCTCAAACCCATACACCTCAAACCCTAAAGCCTATTCCCGGCTCGCAACCCCAAGCGAGGCCTCTTTGCAACATTGAGACGCTGTCGGAGAGCTATGTTCGAGCTCTGTAGGTCCCGCCTGTTGCTTAGATAGGGGCTTCCTCGGATTCCAGGTTTCTTGTTTGTAGGCTTTAGGGTTTGAGGTTTACGGTTCAAAGGTTTGAGGGGTTTGGGGAAATTGTGGTTTTCACAGTCGAGAAGTTTAGGAGTTATATGGTTTAGGCTTTCGGGATTTGGATTTTGGGGGTCCAAGCCTTGGTGTTTAGGGTTACAGGGCTTGAGGTTGAGAACATATGGAACTGCATGAGCGGTTTTAGCGTTTAGCGTTTCGGACATGTCGGCGTGTTTAAGATTCTGGATCGACTGGGCCATAGAGGGCTTCACCGCTTTAATCTTGTGGGGTTTGGGGTTGATGGGGTTGATGTGCAAAGGAGGGCTTTTTGATG